AGAGCGTCCTGACCGTGAGTTCCCCGAAGTTGCATTGTGGGGTTTTTTATACCCCCTGTAGGCCACATGCCATTGTAATAACAATTCATATTTATGGAGTTACATACTTATGTTACTTAATCCTCACAATATTGGTAAGTACTAGCATTTTCTAGTAGTGGAAACAGGCCCAAGGCTGCAGAGTTGCAGTACAAATCCAGGAAGCCTTAACAAGTTTACAATATAATTATGTTAATACTAGCCTTTTTTTTTTTTTAACTTATCAGAGTGCACTTGCATTTCCCATAAAGACAGAAGGGAGAAAGTGCCTCTCCCTAACGGGGTGTGGTCACACCTTACCTTAACCCCTGCATTTATCCACAGAGTTTAAACTTTTTTATTTATTTATTTATCTTTTAAATTTTCTATAAGGCATGTATACTCACCAGAGAAAGACAGAGAAAGTGAGAAAGTAAGCTGCCAGGTCCAGGACTCGAACTGCAGTCGACCATGTGGGAGCCCTGCACCTTAACCACCGTACCACCTGGCCCTCCCATGTACAGATTTTGGTCACTTACATGCGTGAGGAGTGGGTGGGTCCAGGACTTCAACAGCATGGTGGGTCATGTGGGATCTGGCTACCTTAACCACCAGGCCATAGCCGGCCAATACTAGCCTCTTGAAGAAACGCCTTATGGACCATTCCTATAAAGGGATCAGAATGTTAAGTACAGGCCTCAGTTTTCATATATGTTAAATGAGGGAGTTGACAGTGATCTGCCCTGCAAGTCTCTTGACTTGTTATGAGATTCCCCATGGATTATGAAAACACTTTGGAAAGTTCAAGTCAAATAGCTTTCAGCTCTTCTAATCTAAAAGTACCCAAACACTACTCATTTAGCATGTTAGAATCATTACAGGTTCAGCCACTGTGTTGCAAAAGTAATGCTAGTGTCCTGCATGCTGGAAGCTATCTATATAGCAACCACTGGTTCGGATCAACAGGTAGGCCTAAAAAAATGCTGGGATAATACAAGGACAAACACCCAAGATTCTGAGAAGTGGGAGAGCTGAGGAAAGGAGATCAAGGAGTGAGGAACTTTGTCAAAGATGCTTTCTTCCTCTCTGTCTCTCAGTCATAAAGGGGGGGAGGCATTGCAATTTTTTTTTCTTTTTCTTTTTTTAGAGATTTTTGCTGTGCTCACTGGAGAGAGAGAGAAAAAGAAACAAATAGCAAGAAATCACCTCTGCCCCTGGGGATGGCCACGCCACAGTCCCTTTTCAGTTCTCAGAAGGATCTTGGGCACACATGTACCTGTGACCAGCATGAATTTTAAGTCACCAGGTCCAGGACTCAAACCACAGTCAACTACATGGGAGTCCAGTGAGGTAACTATTAAGCTATCTGCTGATCCCACAACCTTTTTTTTTTTTTTTTCAAAAACAATATTTTAAAGAAAATAAAAGAAAAATTACCTTTCTCAGTTATGTACAAATTCCAATTATTGCACCTAGCAATTCTGCAACATGTTAGCAATAGGTAATATATGTAAAAAAAAAATGAGAAAACCACACTGGGTATGTGTGTGTGCATGCCCAAAATCCCAAAAGAAAGGAGAAATGGAGGAGAAGGGATTGTGGTGTGACTATCCCCCATGGAGGGGTTGCTTTTTCACTTTCTTTCTCTGTCTCTCTTTGGCAAGTGCATGCACCTGGCAAGAAAAAAATATTAATTAGATAATAGATTTCAATTAGGTATTTGAATTTGGAAGGGACCGGATAATTTCCTTCAATTCTTTCATGTACAGATGGGCAGAGTAGCTTCCCTACAGTCTCTTGGGAAACTAGTAACCTAAGACTAGAATCCAATCTTGTCAATCTCTATAGGGCATCTAATGCTGCTTCCTCTCATTTTGGTTTCTATGCAAATATGCTTCTCTGCTTTAACTCATTCAGCTAATATTCATTGAGCCCTAGTGACATACAAGGCAATGTCCTAGGTACTGAGGATAGAACCATGAATAACAGGTGCACTCTCTTGGCCTATAGGGAGCTTACAATCTACACAGGAGATTGATGATAGATGGGCATTGAAATAACATTTGGTGTGGTGGTCCGGAGGTGGCAGTTACTGAGAACAGAACATTTGAGAGGGGTAAATTGGGTAAGGAAGATCAAGAGTTTTAGATTGAGGACCAGTCCCATGGCCTATTGGTTAAAGGAACCAGATTCCATGTTGCAGATCATATGGTTCACATTCCATCCCAGCACCTTGGAAAACATGCTGAACATGTATGCATATGTGCCCCAAGTCTTAACAGGATGAGAAATGAAGGAGAAGGGATTGTGACCATGCCCACTGGGGGGTGCTTTCTCCCTCTCTTCTGTCTCTCAATTAGGTATTTGAATTTGGAAGGGACCGGATAATTTCCTTCAATTCTTTCATGTACAGATGGGCAGAGTAGCTTCCCTACAGTCTCTTGGGAAACTAGTAACCTAAGACTAGAATCCAATCTTGTCAATCTCTATAGGGCATCTAATGCTGCTTCCTCTCATTTTGGTTTCTATGCAAATATGCTTCTCTGCTTTAACTCATTCAGCTAATATTCATTGAGCCCTAGTGACATACAAGGCAATGTCCTAGGTACTGAGGATAGAACCATGAATAACAGGTGCACTCTCTTGGCCTATAGGGAGCTTACAATCTACACAGGAGATTGATGATAGATGGGCATTGAAATAACATTTGGTGTGGTGGTCCGGAGGTGGCAGTTACTGAGAACAGAACATTTGAGAGGGGTAAATTGGGTAAGGAAGATCAAGAGTTTTAGATTGAGGACCAGTCCCATGGCCTATTGGTTAAAGGAACCAGATTCCATGTTGCAGATCATATGGTTCACATTCCATCCCAGCACCTTGGAAAACATGCTGAACATGTATGCATATGTGCCCCAAGTCTTAACAGGATGAGAAATGAAGGAGAAGGGATTGTGACCATGCCCACTGGGGGGTGCTTTCTCCCTCTCTTCTGTCTCTCTGTCTCTCTGGTGAGCACATGCACTCTCTGACTTATAAACCGCAACAACAAAATAGTTTTAGATTGGGGCATTCTAAAACTATGACAGATGCCTATACGAAGTCCAGGAGAAATGTTCTATGGTGGCTATAGAAGCAAATCTGAGGTTTCACAGAGAAATCTATTTTGGACTAGAGCCCCAAGAGTGAGTGGCACATTCAAGCAGATGAAGTCATAAGGAGATTCAGGGAAAAGACAAGATGGCCTAAGACCAAGCTTTGTGGAACTCCAACATTTAGAGGTCAGACAGAAAACAAGCTGCCAATGGAAGCCAGAGAGCTAAGAAGAAAATCAGGGAAATGTAGAGTTCTGGAGTCCAGAAGAAAAGAGTGTTCCAAAAAATAAATGGTAAACTGTATTGAATACTGCAGAGAGATGAGGCAAGACTGGACTGAGGAGTATGCATAGGACCGAGTAATGAGAAGCCACTGGTGACTTAGTTCAGAGCATTTGCAATGGATGCAAGGGTCAGGAGTTTGTTTGCAGTGGGCTGTGGGTGAGTGAGAAGTGAGACAGTGGAGACAGCCAAAGTGGCCAAAGTTTTGAGAATCTCGACTTGGAGAGGATGTAGGGCATGTAGAAAGGCAAGGCAGCAGTGGGAAGAGAATGTGAAATCAAGATATTTGGGGGGTTTAAAGTTAATTCTGTTTCTTCTGGGAGCAAGAGAGAGAGAGAGCACCACCAAGGTCTTGATACTGTGATCTACCTCCAGCTTGAGCCAGCCCCACATCAGGGGCATATCCTGGGAGTTCTCCAGACACAAACCTGATACCTCCCCATATGGTTCAGGCTCTCAGAGCATCACATTTTACTTCTGGGCCAGTATCAGGCTGTTAAGACATTTGGGTTTTGACGGGAGTTTGTGATGCTTGTTCAGATAATAATGGGAAGGAAAAGAGGAGAGTGAGAGGTGCAGGATGCAGACAGGTTGGGGTTGACAATGGGTTGGCCAACTGCTCTGAGAAGGCAGAAGCCCAGGAACATGTGTGGAGAATGTAGCTTTTATAGGTCACCACACTTCCTCCTTCCTCTATTCTTTTTCTGTCTTCTCCTTGACCTCTTCTCAGGGCACTTTTCAAATGTTGTTTTTCCCAGAATCCCACCATCAGCCTCCTCTTCCTACTCTCCATGTTATCCATTGGTGACTTCATCCACTCCTGTGACTTTACTTACTCCCTAATTACTCATACCTGTCAAACAGCTCTCTCTCATCCAGATGTCTTTTCCCCATGTGCAAACTCAGTGGAAGTCTAACTGCAGACAGAGTACCTCCATGTGATGCTCATGGACAGTGATGTGTTGGCATCAGCTTGTGCCAGGTCATACCAGCTCACAAAAGCCCGTAGTACATCTCTTTTCCCAATTCTTTGCTCAGTGAAGTCATGTTGATAGTTGTAACTTGAAATCAGTCACGGTGGGAGTATTTACGTCATGGAAATTGGCAAATGCTTCAGATCAGGGCTCCTCCTCCCTGAAGAGCTGGGTTTTAAAACGTTTACTGCACACCACTGTTGACTGATATCTTACACTGAACATATTCAGAAATAATCATCTTCCCCTGCACCTCACCCAGCCCAAGCTTACCCCTTCCCTGAATCTCTTGGCCCAGCTAACAGCATTACCACCTATCTGAGAGCTTCCCACTTCATTTTCCATAGCCAAAAAATGGCCACTTAGGATATAGTCTAAGCTGCTATAACAGAGTCCCCAAAATTTAGTGACTTAAGCAACAACCCCACAATAGACACCCCAGGACTGAGGTGGCATCTCCATCATCTTCAACATGCAGCATCCACTTGTATGTCCAGCACAGCTCAGGCAGCACTCACCGTTATATCTGATTCTCA